GAATGTTGCACCAAGGAATTTTTTGCTTGACCCTTGTTTAGTCCAGGTCAACTATAGAAATAAGTTTATTGACACTTGTGTGTAAGAGAGAGTTTTCTATCCAAGAGTAATTGTATATTAAGAAAACATTCCGGTCCATAGTCTGATATTAGCCCATATGTCTGATACTAGTCCATAAATTCCTCTTTAGACTCATGCAGCACATACAATGATGCCAAATGCATGAAGATCACAGGCCGGTGGGTAGAAAATCTTGTGGGTCCAGTGCCAGGATCTCAATGCTGGTGCAAGTCTCCATGTGGCTCCTCCAGCTCTCTGAGTGTCTCAGCACCAAGAAAGGGAAGGCAGAGAGAGTGCCCCACTGAGATAGAAGAAGCTCCCAGAATCCTCAGGAGAAGACTATGCCCACAGAGTCATGATTGGCTATGACCTGATTGACAGGCTAGCCCCCCACCCCCTTCACTCAAGTTGACAGGAGATTATATAACTGCCCCAAACCTGCTCATTCTTTGAAGGTAGCAAGGGCTGTCCTAGGAGAATTCCATTGGAAAACCTTACTGCATCCATTCTACAGCCCTCATGTTGCACCTTCAGACTTCGTTTGCTTCCCCAAACTCAAAGAATATTGCAAAGGTACTTGATTTGAGTCCCTAAGATAACAAAACTGTTCTTTGGGTGTGCTGCCAATCAAAGAACGCACAATTCTTCATAGGGGTGCGGGGGTTAGAACAAATACCAAACCCACTGACATCAAGTCAATTCCAATTGATCTTGACCCTCTGTAGGGTTTTCAAGAATGTAAATCTCTATAGGACTAGAAATTGAAGCAGCTAGTAGTTTTGAATCATCAACCTTGGGGTTGTCCTTTAAACGTTTACCTGACAGCACCACCAGGGAAGGGTTAGAGAGATGGAAATACCATGTTCAGAAGGGCATAGACTTAAATGAAGTAGTCTCCAAATCAAAATACTTCATGTTTCAAAGTGAAACCACTAGCTTCATATTTTGATGTTTTTGTTTAAGGATTCTATGATTTTGTAGCAATACTTTTTGGGTTGCCAACCTATAAGGAGTTAATCAGCCTTTCAAGATGAGGAAATTACTCAGAAGCCTGTGTTAAGAAAGGAACGGTAATTTCCAAGTTGATGATCTTTTTCATCCATGGATGCTTTGAGTGCTCTGATACGAAGTTCACCAAATGATTGTCACCAGCTTCCCAAAATGAATGCAGCCAAGGGAGTTGTCACAGAGCTGTGACTGGAGGCAATAATATGATTTAATCTGATAGAGCTTCAGCTCCCCATTCCAATCATGGCCTTGGAATGTCCTCCAGAGCGGTGTGAATGGACAGGCAGAGAGGCTGTCAGATGCTCCGTTCAGAAATGCCAAGGATTGAGTGACTCATGACATGTCATTAACTACAACCCCACTGAGCTCTTGAGCCCAGAAGTTATACATGGGTACGTCAGAAAGTTGGTAAGATTTCTTTATCTTTCAATACCATTTTTCTGCAACTGTGTTGAATCCCCTTTATACTTTTTGGAACCAAGCAAATGGAAATGTAATGGAGGGATGAAATGTACCAAGGAAGTGTTAAAGGTTCTAAACAAGAAAAATAAACCAGCTCTGAAGCTTTCGGCAGAGAAGAAAATAATGAAGAATATTCATATATCTGTGGGAAAAACCTCCCCAAAACTCATGGGAAACCTGATACTCTGTGCTTTCCAAAGACAATTATGCAGACACGTGAATTTTCTCACAATCTTCTCTCTTTGGGAGACTTCTGTTTCTTATTGAAATTATTCATTTTTAGAATAAGCAACAAATTTACCTGCAAGGAAAGCCATTTGATTTGGGAGCAGGACAATAAACACACACACACACACACACACACACACACACGCACACACAATCTTCCCATTCTTAATGTATTTTTTGTGTCATTTTCTGGTACTGCTATAACAGAAATACAAGAATTGGATTGACAAACAAAAAATTAATTTCTTTACAGTTGAGGAGGGTAAAAGTCCAAATTCAGAGTGTTCGTGACATAGTGGTTATGCACTGGCTGTTAACTGCAAGGTCAACAGTTCAAAACCACCCACCACTTGGTGAGAGAAAGGGCTTTCTACTCCCATAAAGAGTTATGCTCTCAGAAACTCACAGGATAGTATTACATTAATCTACAGGGTTACTATGAGTCGGTACTGATTCAATGGCAGTGAGTTTGGTTTATAGGGTATTTTGGTTTTGTTTGTGTGTTTGCTTTTATTGTTTTTTGTTTGTTTTGGCTATCTTTCTGTGTTAACTCTGGATTGGGAGGATCCTTTCTCTTCCCACAACTACTAAGCTTTATCTAGTTGACCAATCTGTGGCAAGAACCCTGCTGACATTGGTAATACTCGATAAAGTATCGATGAAATAAACTCAAAGAGCACAGTGGGCAGTGGTGTGGGAAGCAGCCAGTGATATGCTGAAAACAACTCCTAGTAGTACACAAGAAGATTTGCTCTCCTTTTAATAGCTGTGACTTTTCTGCAGGAGCAAGCCTTTTTAATGAGCAAGCCTGGTACTTATTTGCATTCTTCACTTCATTTAGAAAGGTGGTCCTCCCTTAAGCTTAGGAATAACTGACATGTGCAAATGCTTATCTTTGCTCTTCACGCTCCTAATTCCCATGCTCTTTATTGCAGTTTTTATGTAAATTTTTGTCATGACCACAGAATGTGAGGCAATTATAAATGGGAAATTGACTCTCCAGCATCAGGGACTCTCTGTATGTTGTCAGCATCAGGGGCTCCCTAGATTATTTTGTCAGCATTTATGCTTTTGCAAACCCATTGGTGGGTAAAAAATGCCCTATTTTCCCCCCATAGAGCAAAGCGATTATGCAAACCCACTTAATCAGCCTTTTAGTGCATTTACTAGTGCTCTATAAAACTCAGGAATGTCATTCTTTTGTTATGCTGATGTTTGGGTGTTGTGACATGCATAGAAAAATAAAATTAAAACAGTAGCCTTAGTTCCATTTTCTTTGTCCTGTGTATCTCCACAGGGTAGATCCTGACCATTTCAAAGACATGTTGACAGTTTTCATCAACAGAGCATCATTTAACCAGCTATACATTTCTCTTTTTGAAAATTGTACAGCTTGATAGAGAGTTTAGATCAAAGAAAAACATTAGTATGGGAAATCAAAGATTGAAATTTGTGAGATGATGGTGGCCTTGCCTCAAAAATGATTCACCCTTAAAGCTTTTTAATTAACTCACCTTGAAATGAGTTTGTACCATTGACATCTTCACAGAAATAGGAGTATTTGGCTTTCAAGCCTTGTGCATTCCTGCCCTAGGTCCTCCCAGGTGCCTGACGAAGACAAAGCCCAGCCTGTCCCTGTTCTTGCTGTTAGTTGCTACAGAGTTGATTGCAAGTCATGATGACCCCACATGTGTCAGAGCAGAACAGTGACTATGACCTTTCGGAAGTAGATTTGATGGATTTCTTTCAAGGCTCCTTTGAGTGGATTCAAACTGCCACCCTTTCAGCTACAGGATGAGAGTTTAACCACTTGCACCATCCAGGAACTCCGTTCCATGACAATAAGCAAAACCAAACCAAACTCACTGCAAGTAGATTCCAATTCATAGTATAAAAGGGTTCTGAGCCTGTACATCTTTATTGAAGCTGAAAGCCTCACCTTTCTCCTGCAAAATAGCTGTTGGATTTGAACTACCATCCATGTGGTAATTAGCCCAATGCTTATCCCACAGTGTTGTGGTTACTCATTGGGCTGTGGTTCGAAACCACCAGGTGATCTATAGGAGAAAGAAGGGACTTTCTACTCCCATAAAGAGTGACAGTCTCCAAAACTCACAGGGGCATTTCTACTCTGTCCTATAAGGTCACTTGGAGTTGACATTGAGTTTGGTTGAGTTTTCAAAGAGTGGTAGAGTGGATTGTGCCTTCGGTCGCTAATCTCAAAATTGGCAGTTCAAACCCACAAGCCTCTCTGGGCAGGGTAGGTGTGGAGGGACTGAAGCATCTGCTCCCTTGAAGATTTCCAGCCTTGGAAAGGCACAGGGCAGGTCTACGTTGCCTTATAGATCACTATGAGTCAAAATTGACTAAATGACAGTGAGTTGTTTAGAAGTGTTTTATAGTTTTAGCTCTTATATTTAGAAGCTTGATTCAGTTTTACTTTTTATATGATGATCAATAAGGAAACAACTTCACCCTTGAGCAGGTGGGCATCCATTTATCTCAGAATCGTTTGTTGAAAAACCTTTCTGCCTTGAATTGCCTTGGCAAAGTCAATGGAAATTCAATTGAACGTTGTATTAGGGTTTATTTGGGGACTCTCGACTCTGTTCCATTGATCTATATGTCTAGCCTTATACCAGCACCACAATGTCTTAATTCCTTTCAAAGTCAACATCTTTTGGTTACAAAATGTGTGTCCTCCAACACAGCTGTGGAGAAGGCTCCAGAACTCACCTCTCTCTTATACCTCTTGGGTTCAGTCTATGTGGAAAAGAGCAATGAGCAGCTGTAGCTCATTGGGGCTTACCTCTAATTTGCTCTTCCCACAAAACACTGGCTCTGGCTTCCACACTGTATCCTGTGACCTGAGGCTAAGGCACCGACCATCACACATCATTGTACCATCCAAGGACATTGCTCATCCTTCCTTCTTTCCATACCCTGTCACCTGTCGCGGATGTTTGATATCTCTTTTTTGCAATAGCATCTGTTCTTTGTACTCAAGATTTTGAGCACAACTCGTGGTTTATTGAGACAAGTGCATATGATCCTGGATTTCACGTGTTAACCCCACCAACAAGCTTGGCATTAAGGAAAGACACAATTGGATGCCCTTGAAACGTCGTTGCAGCCAATGACTCCCCTTTGCCAGCCCTCCATCATACAAACCCTTCCCAGGGAACCATGCTCTCTTCTTTGTTGGAGGAGATTCAGGCGTGTGTTGCATTGGTGTTTTTCAGCTGGTCAGCTGGCTGGAAGCTCCTCTGTCGAGATGTATCGCCAAGTCCTCCTGTCTGGCTGTCGTTGTGTGGAGCTGGACTGCTGGAAGGGGCGGACTGCAGAAGAAGAACCTGTCATCACCCACGGGTTCACCATGACAACAGAAATATCCTTCAAGGTACAGTGGGTGCATGCTGCTGAGGGAAGGAGCGGAGGCAACCTGGACCTTTGAGGAAAGCCTCCTGACATAGAAAGCCCTCGGTCAGGAGTAGGTCAGTAGGTCACTTTAGGCCAATAGTCTTATTAGTCAGGTTTGTTATTTCAGAATTAAAATATAGCATCTCAACCACAGGTAAGTGGCATCAGGTGAATTAATTCATGTGGCATTGTTAAAGAAGTTGTCTTATCAAAAAGGAAGTCAATGATTTTTCTGCTCATGTTTCTGTCTTACTGCCATCAAGCGGATTCTGGTCCATTGCCACCCTATAGGACAGAGTGAACTGCCCTGGTGGGTTTCAGAGGCCATAACTCTTTACAGGGGTAGGAAAACCTCCTCTTTCTCCCTTGGAGCGCCCCATGTTTAGCCCCTTATTTTTTCTTGCATTTTTTTAATGTGAAGTACATAATAAAAGTGTATGTACAACACCTTTCGACAGTGTAACTAATGGATATAAAATGTCCACCTGCGTAAGAGTCACCTGATTGTGTGTGTGTGTGTGTGTGTGTGTGTGTGTAACTTTACTGACATGCAGAAACACTTCCTTGTGTCTATTCCCATCTGAATGACCTCCCTTGGCCCAGGCATGACCCTGAGCCTGATGATTATTGTCATCCCTACTTTGCCTTCCAAAGAGATATACTAGCCCCTTGTGTCCTCACCAATGTGGCTTTTGCCAGTAACTGAACCACATAGAAATTGATTCATACTGTATTATTTTTCTGCCTTTTTCACTCCATATTTTTGGGAGACTCATCTATATTGTTGCATGTATCTTATTTTCTTTCTTCTTTATATTAATATCATATTAAGTCCTGTAATATAATTGTCATATAATAGCTCATTTTGTGATGCTATAATGGAATATTAAATATTAGATGCCAATTTATCATGCTGTTGCCTTAGGAACACATCCATAGTAGACAAAGTTTTATTGTCTCTTGCAACCTGGGAAAAAGCATATCATGGGGAACTGTGTGGTCAGAGGTGTTAACAAGAATTTACCGGGATTAGGTCTCATGTTAGGTGATTTGGGTAACTGTTCAAAGAAGCAAACTTTACCTCTTGAGGGGGTCCTATCAAAAAAGGAAGTGATTTTGTATCTGGATATCTTAATAAAATCTATCTAGGCAGTATTGATGTGATTATTAATGAAGAAGCAGCTGTCCTTTTTATTAATCATCTCGTGGCACACCTGAATGGCAGCCCTGCTCTCTGGAATTGAGGTGATGGGCTCTAACTCTTTACCACCCATGAGTTCATGGCCCCACCCTCTGAGAGCTAAGAGACTAGAGCTCCACTCTAAAATGCATCCAACCCTGTTTCCTGTGCTCTTTCAAATGTTCTGCTGGCTCCAAACTCCGGGATAATTCTATTCTTGAAGGAGAACGGATTTAGTTCCTTTGGTCTGTTTTCCGCTTGTGAACTTACAAGAAGCAGACACTGTATTTCCTTTTGTCTTGCCCTTGACTTCTGTCTAAGTTAGTCAGTTATCTATTATAGTAATTGGTTGGAACGATAAATCAGTCTCATTATTTCGAACATAAGATTAGGCACCCACACCCTTGGCAAGAATTCTAGACATTGTGTCCTGAGTTTGTTCAACAGAATTTCCAAAATCTTGAAATTTTATTTTCATTGTGTACCTTTTATTTCTAAGCCCATCTCTTTCTTCTCACATTTTAATGTAAATAGCAAAGAGAAACCTTCTGGTCACCTTAAGATTTGTCTAGAAATCTATTCAACCAAATGTCCAAGTTCTACCTTCTACCAAACACAAAAGTTTAAACATAATTTTGACGAGCTCTTTCCTACTTCACAAAAGGGTTCACCCTTTCTCCGTTGTCCAGTCATGTTTTGGTTTTGTTTTAAAGCCTCAGCAATGGTACCTTTTGCATCCTCATTTCTAGCAAAATCTGTTGATGCCACCATATGTATTCTCTAAGATGGCAGGGACTCTTTTTGGCTATCGTCACTATCCTCTGACCCTTCACCAGAATTGCCTTCGACATCTGTAATTCACAAACAGTCATTTCATTGTCCCAACCCAATTCTCTTGAGTCAATTACAACCCACGGTGACCTTAAAAGGCAGAATAGGACTCTCTCCTGAGGTTTTTGAGGTTGTAAATCTTGACAGGAGACAACAGCCTCATATCTCTCCTTAGGGACAGTTGGTGGGTTTGAACCACCTACCTAATAATTAACAGTCCCATGCTTAATCCAGTGTACCACCATGACTCATGCGCTTTTTATGATTAGACATCTTAAAATTTTGCCAACCTCCCCCCATGACCTCATCCTAAACCCACTTCCACATTCTAGGTTTTTGTAATAGCTGCAACTATTTCTAAAGTCTTAGTGATACAGTGCGAGGTAGTTAGTTTATTGTGCCAACCTGGCTGATAAACACATGTGGGGTTAATTGAAGGGCGGAGGGATAAATGGCTCAGGGGGCCTCGCCTCTCGAGTTCTCAGGTCTCTTGCTTTCTGATGGTTGGACCAGGGTGCAGCTGCCTTAGAAGTTCCCTGCTTTAGCTTGTAAAGCTGACTTCCTGCAAGACATCCCCAAGGAGAAGCCGCATGGACCTACCCGGATGCAACCCTGGGTGCTGGAACAGCCATGTGGAGACCCCTGCCAGCGCTGAGATGCTTACACATCCACTGGATCCGGTTTCCTCCTAGTCGGCATCATTGCATCTGTTTTGTGAGATGGAGGAGGACTTTGTGGATTGGTGTTGGACATATGGGTTTATGGGTTAATGTTGGACTTGTGGGCTTGGGCAGCACTGGGTTGGGATGTTATCTTGACTTAACCTTTATATAAAACTCTCTTATACATGAGTTTCTGTGGATTTGTTTCTCTAAAGTACCCAGACTAACACATAGTTCCACTATAATAGAAATGCCACAGGTGGGTGGTTTTTACAAAGAAATTTTTATTTTCTAAACTTAGGAGGTTATAAGTTTGAATTCAGGGAGTTGGCACTAGAAGTCTTTCAGTGTTGTTTCTGGGAGCATTTGTTGCTATGCACCAATGACTATATCCTTACTGTTTACTGATCCTGATTTGGAATAACCTATTTATTTCTCCAATAAATCTCCATAATTATGAGTATTGTATGTGAATTCTGTGTGACCAATTCAACTAATTATCAAGCCCCACACAGGTTAGAATGCTATGTGAGGAATAGTTGGTATTAGAATAGGTAAAGAAGGATGGAGTGTGGAGGCATGTGTGTTAGTCTGGGTAGATTAGAGAAACAAATCCAGAGACACTCACGTGTATAAGAAAGAGCTTTATATAAAAGAGCAATTGTATATTGAGAAAACATCCCAGCCCAGTCCAAATTGTCCATAAGTCCGTTATTAGCCCATATGTCCAATACCAGTCTATACGTTCGTCTTCAGACTCATGCAACACTTGCAATAATACCGAATGGCGGAAGCTCACAGGCCAGTGGGTGGAAAGTCTGGTGGATCCAGTGGCAGCGGCTGCATCTCTGCAGAAAATTATCTTCACAAGTGCATAGACCTAGGTGAAGGCTATGTCTCAAAACAATCACTTCACGTTTTGATAATTTTTAAAGATTTTATGATTTCATAGCAAATTTTTTTTACATACCCTCATAGCACCATTCACTAAATTTTACAACAAAGTTTAATGTGGGGTTGACCTTCACAATGCTCAAAACCCTTAAGTATTGTCATCTCCCTCTGAAGTTGAGTAGTCTTAAGATCATTGGATATTCTTAAGTAGAAATTTATAGGGTTATTAGTTTATTTCCACTGTCCTCCTCGTCCCATAGTCCTTGTTCTTTGTCACTGATCGCAGCCCTAATTGGGAGGGGAGCTTTAAGAAAAAGTGGGAGCAGATGACCCTACTATGGAGTAGAGACAGTTTGAGCTCAGTTGACTCGATGGAGATGCTCTTCGAGAGACAGTCTATTACAGTCAGCCTGCCCCTGAGCTCGGTCAGGATCTGAGGGTACTGGGCACTGACCCACGACCTAAAGGCCTTGTCCCACTTCCCTGTTCACTGTCCCAGTCTACCCCTCTGATTCTGGTGAGGAGCCATTATATCTTCTTTAAAAATTGCCATTCTGTGAGTTCCTTGTAGGGAAGATAGTTCCAAGCACATTGTAGGGCATATTTATTTTATCGGAAGCATTCGCCCCCCTGGCCTCTGCCGTCATGTCGACTCGGAGTGATTCTCTGTACACTCAGCCATCCAGGTGCTTCTTGGGTCCCATCTGTCACCCCAGCATCATGGGCTACTGCACGCTTATTCTTGGGCTCAGTAATGCACCACTTCTCAATAACATCCACACAGTGGGACAGGGGTGGTGATTAAGATTCCATCTAACCGAGTACAGCTTTGTCGCTCTGCCGGATGGAGTTGGCCAGGATCATCAGAGAGAGGCAGGAACCATCACCCCAGTGTTTCTCCAGCTACGCCCTCCTGGGATTGTGCGGCATAGAAAACTTGGGAGAGATGGGGTAGGTTTGCAGGAGGTGGAGACAGATCCGGGAGGTAGAAATGCCAACCAGTTTTATGGACAGATAGATATCCCATAGCAAGTATCCTCTCTGTCTCTCGAAGGGGCGGGGGTGGGGGGGTGGGGGGGTGGGGGGTGGTGGTTCAGGGGTGCTGCAGCCTCCAGTCTTCTCTGCTGGCAATTAAGGCGCCTAGGGAACAAAATTTAAGGATTCACTCACTGTCATGCTTGTGCAAGTACAGAGTTGGCACCTGAGAGTGAGTGTCTCATTAAATATTGGCCTCTAGACACCTGGTTTGCATGATTATCAGTATGCAATATGCTTCCCCAGAAAGCAGTGGGCAAGGTAGTGTATTTCCTAAGGCTGCTCTAACAAAGGGCCCAACAAGCTTAGGCGGCTTAGACTGAAATGGATTGTCACGCTGGTGTGAAAGCTAGGAGGCAGCATCAGCGGTGTCGAAGG